AACAAAATAGACATTGCATTTTTAAAACATATGTCAAGCTCTACTTTTGGCCACTACTGTAGCTTTACACTGTTTGGTAGTAACCCTCTACCATATTGTTACAGTTTGTCATATGGATCACTGATAAACCAGAAGCTAACAGTCAAATGGGATTAAAATGAAGAGGGAATACACATTTAACCTGAATAAAATAGTTACCTGAGACCCATTAACTGAAGTTGACTGCCAGTTTTCTAAGTCCAAATTTTTAACCATACTAGAGTTATAAATGCTTCTCTGAGTAGGAAATATTGCCCCTGGAGGGCATTAGTCATGATAGGAGGACTCTGTGTACACAGAACAGGGGGCATTAGAACAATCACAACCAAGGAAGTGGTGATCCAAAAAACTTTGAGAAGCACTGCTTTAAATGATTATACAGACAAAAACATTTTTTAAACTAACTTTAACCTGTTTAATAATTTTTTAATAGTCATAGTTTTTAAATCTGTGTATAATTAGTTAATATAACTAATCAAATTTTGCTTTAAATCATTTCAACAGCACATTATTAGCAAGTAGAAAAATATCAATTAAATTTACTACATACTATATACAAAATTGCTTCCATTCAAGTTTTTAATGTTGGTTATCATGTTTAGTTTTATTTATATAAATATATATAAAACTAAATTAGCGTGAATAACAATCATGAAATGCTTGAGTGGAATGATTNTCAACTTTTAAAAAGTTTAGGAATTTAAAATCTAATCCATTTTAATAGAATCAGAATCCAAAATATAATTTCAAAGTAAGAGAAGATCTGATTGGTTACTTTAGTAGAAACTCAATCCAACATTGTAAATATACATAAAACCTGTCTATGGTGACCACCCATGGTTTCTTCAAAAAGTGGTCTTTTAGACAGGTGGTCGTTCAATACAGGTGGTGCTGTAATACCATATTTCTATATGTATTTTGTGCACTTTTTAGCCATTTCTACTAAGCAAAACTCGAGGTGAGCACAAATAAGCGAATTTTTTCAACGATTGGTATTGTATTTTATTCTTATCGGATAACTCGATTTACAGGAGTCGTCGTGATTTTATAAGACAGATTTAATACCAATATTTTAAAGATTAATACAATAGTCGCATTTTCTCGATTATAATGCACACTTTCTTTTTTCTGACTTAATTAATTCAACTTGGTCATTTTCGTTTGCTCCTAAGTTACATGTATTACGCCATTGATATACAAGCGCGTCATATTTCTACATCACTTTGGTTTTGGTATTCGTTACTTTAATCTTATTTTAACTTTAAAAATACTGTATTTTTTAATATTTTCTTCAGTACAATAAGAAAAATTATTAATTAATAATAAAACGATTTTATTTTTTGTCATTATACGATTTCATTACATTCCATGATTGTCATTTGCAGAATCGAAAAAGGAAGGTTGCCTGTAAAACTGATTTTTGCATTAATGCATTTATTGTTTTTTTGAATATTTTGAATGCGAAAATTACTTGGATATTATTTTTCTAAAACTATCCTGGAAGTAAGGTAGGTTGATACAGAAACTATTTATCGCACATGTACTGTATAGGAGCTTCAAAATAAATAAATAAAAATAAATTTTATCAAATGATGAGATCAGCCGATTAATTGTACCATGTACCTGTACAATATTTTATACCCCAAGGAAAATACTGTAGGTCTACGGTAAAATCAATTTTGTTTACCCACAGTTAAACTTCGCTGCTAATTACTGTTGTGATAACTTTAACACAATCCTCTAACGACAACACTTTGCATTTCTTTCGTTTTTCGAACAATTTCGAACAAACTGAAATGAATTTCCTTTGTTGCTAGACTAATTCATTAACCTAACACCTAATTTCAATAGTGGGAGAAGTGCACAAAGTGGATTCGAACGAGAGTTTAGACTAATTCATTATATTAGGAGGGGAGAAACATTGCTGAACAATAGTTTAGAACAGATATATTTGCGGAAGTTGTCGCTTATTACAGTTGTTGTATGTTGTTTCAGACCAAAAATCGATGTCTGCAATTGCGTTACACAGGTGGTCATTTAATACAGGTAACTTATACGAAGACTATGGATAAACTATTCAGTATCAGAAATTTTTGTCTGTTTTGACAGGTGCCCGTCAAATGCAGGTGGTCGCCTAAGCAGTTTTCACTGTATATAGAATATACTGTAATAACTGTACTGTAATAGAATATACTGCATACAGTATTTGATTACAGATACACTAAGATAATTTTAACATTTATAAAGTAAAGTAATCCAATAACAAATTATTCATATACATATATATGTCTCTTTAATAAAAAAAAAAAAAAAAATGTACAAGAATCTAGTAGACTATCTTACAGCCTTTAGGTCAGGAACATCCTTTATTGAAGATACAGGTTACATATGCATTTCGTGCTTATTTTATCTTTAAGCCCCTCTTCAGTGCTATACAAAATCGTGGAAAACCTTTTTCTTTGTACAGTAGATCCCCCTATAAGACGGGTCCCTATAATTACAATTCCTATAAGACAGCGAAAAAATTGTGTCGGTATCCATAAACAACAGTAAAAACACTCCTATAATTACGTAAAACGTCATCGGGCAGCCGAACTACTTTCCGCTGTCCAGCGCCACGCTATGGACAGTTTAGGCGGGTAAATTGAGTTTAGTATTGTCTGTACATATAATTATATATAAATTAGGTNAATTATAATGTTAAATACTAAATTTTAAATAAAGGCATTTAATGATTTTAAGTTTTGAATAAAAATCTGCCAATTCAATAAATCTATATACTGAAAATACACAATGTAAATGAAAAATAATCTATTCCAATTTTAAAAAACATATTTAACACACACCCACTGAATAAATCAAGAGGACAATATCCACTTTTTCTTTCAATAATCATTTTCTTCAACTGTAAACAGAAATAATTTTATGTTGAAAATCATATGATGGAACTTACATAAAATAGTAATACATAATTAATACAGAATGTACAATTTATTACTGTTAATGATACTATTACTGTTATTAAATATATCAGTAATTATCTTTGTAGAAAATATAATATAATTTAGATAATAATAAACCTAATTAATTCCAAGTAACACCTTGCATTTTTTCCTGATTTAACAGTTTAGCTAAAGATGACTCACCAGTTAAAATATTACCCAAGTTAATTGAATTATTAAAATAATTATTATAAGGTAATAAATTTTGGATTTGCCATTTATAAATGAAGTAAGTTTTAAATTATACTTTTACATACTTTTACACAAACAATAAAAGTCAGTTGGCCAAGGTGATTAAAGCATGTATCAGCACCCCGAGGGACCTCAGTCCAAATCTGGGTCAGATCCCCCAGAAATTTTTCATGGGTGGTCTTTATCTGGATATGTCAGTTATCAAACACTCCATCTTTCACATCTGGCTATCCCACTGTGCAATTGGCTACATACATGACTGACAAGAAAAATGACTTTTAACATTTCCATTCTGATATAAAAGTTTTTACCTTACATAATGATGATGATTTTTTTCTGCATAAAATCAATCAATATAAAAAGTACACCTAGTAATGATGCAAGTACAATTAATAATAATATAATGCAAAAAAGAAATAATTGTATATTGAATGATAAAAAAAAAAAACAAAATACAAATCACCTCAAAGATTTAGAAAATTATATAACAAACAGAACATTTCTGACATTTTAAATGCATTTATTCTGAACAACAGAAGAATAATTTTAAAATGAACATTTTCTGTTTATTTTAAAACTATTCTTCTGTTGTTCAGAATAAATGCATTGAAAATAAAGAATCATATCAAAAACTTGATTAAAGAAATCATTTTTATAAAATAAAAGTTTAATATGTGCAGAAGAACCAGTTAATAGTCCAATTTATATCCCACAGAAAAATCTATAACAAAGTCAAAATAATTTCAAATACAAATTATCCAAAACAACTTGTCAATCAACAATATTCAACTAGCAAAGAATAGGAAAAAAATACTATAAATTCCTGAAATTTTTTTCTTATTAATATATATGCAAAAATTTACATTAATGCCAAGAATTCAAGTCACGTTGTGCCAGGAACTTACAGAAAGCAACAATAGTGATTTTTCAATATAATTCCAAGCATTTTCTGTGGTTTGTATCAATTATTTCAATATTTTGGAATGAAAAACCAAACTCTTAGTTTCTGAATGATCTTTTGAGTAATTTTTAAAAATCATTCATTTATAAATTTTATCTAAAAAAACTAACAACATACCCTATAATGTTGTCTCATACAAAAAGAACATACTCCAGTTTTCAGTATTTGATCACCAGATAAATTTCCTGCAGTTTTCATATACCCTTGTTTTGGCTGTATGGTTAGAAAAAGAGTTACATTACATGTCTTTGAATAAAATAATTTTTCAGAGATATCTATATAATGAAAAACAATTGTGTTTCATTATTTTTGTTTAAATAGAAAATAAAAATTAATTGCATCATATTTTTGTTAAAAAATATCATCATAAGAATAAACAATGTATAGTATACTACCATATATTTAGCTAAACAAAATAACAAGAATAGACTGGTCAAAGTTAATTTTAAAAAAATAATATTCAATATCATAAAATGTAAAAGTTAACAAAGGCTTTAAAAATATCATAAAAGTTTGTAATTTATAATACTGAATATTAAACTGCTAAACTATTAAATAATTATATTACCAGTGGAACCTTGCTTAACAAGCATAATTTGTTCCAAAATCTTACTTGTAATGCAAAACACTCATTAAGCGAAACAATTTTGCCCATATAAATTAATGTAAAATATGATAATGCATTCCACGCCGAAAAAAATACTCAAATATTTTATGTATAATGTTTATTCAAAGAAAATTATACAATATACATTGTTAAGGAGTGTGAATCATCATCTTCTCTTNAAATTATTCACAAGCTATATGCATAAGTAGAAATTTCTTTTACATTTTTTGTACATCTGTGTGCTGTAAATAAAATTTTAATTAAAAATACATAGTTATATAATTTCTAAAAATAAAGCAATATATTTTTCCTAAATAATTATAAAAATATTGTATCAATCAAAACAAAATACTTATCATTGTTGCTTGATAAAATGAATTATAATCAATTTGATTTAATATAAAAAAACTAGTGTATTATAAGCTGTGTCAGTGGTCTCAAGTCCTGTTCATTACATAATAATATACCTTGCAATGGGATCAACCAACACATTAGGAAAAGAGAATTATGCTCTGAATTAAACTATCAATGAGAATCACAGATTCAGACTAAATCTTAACCTCATATCACTAATACTAATGCGATGACACCTTGCTACACAGTATCTGGTATATTATAACCAATATTTTTCTCTTAGAAGAATATACTATATTTACATTCACTAATAAATGGATAGCAAAATTTTTAAACAATTAAAAAAAAAGTTCTACTCACAATTGACTATACTTCCACTCAGACTGGAGTTCAAAACCTCCTAAAGAATCGTCTTAAGAGGTTTTGGAATCACTAGAAATATATAAGGCCAAAAAACAAGGACGAAGTATTAATTTCAAACAAGAAAAACACTTGTCCTATGCATGGCAGATATTACTTAAAACCATAACCAGAAGCATTTATAATATTAAAATAATATTTCAAGAAGTATCTATTTGAAATGCTCATAATATTTTGTACCACACTTTATGATGATGGTGTCACGCAACAAATTTAAGCATTTGATATATCTAACATTTTAAAAAAATAGCTATTTACAAAACACGACTTTTTTGACAATGTTTGAAACATTCTGATTCTAGAACAGTTGACCTGATGAAGATCCAGACATAGGATTGAAAATGTTAAGTAATTGTAAAGGTGATAACATATTGGAGATTTATTTAAGAAGGTTGTTTAAGAGGTTTTAAACTATAAAAAAAAGTAATTACAAGTATTAAGTATTCTGAAAATATATGTATAGAAAATAAAATTATACTTTTATTACATGAACAACACAATGAACAATCTAATTATCTATTTATTCTATATAAATACATCAAACAAAACCTTTACCTTCCAGTAAATAATTTTAATGTAAAATTCGACAAATGTTTTCAATCTTACACAAGAGCTGCATCTCTACAAGAAGCAGCTTTTGTTTATTTGGTTTATTTGATGTACTTAGCCATCAATCCAGTTATCGAGAAGGTAATTTTATTCTATATAATCTATTTATTCATTTGATTAGCAATTCTCTTAAAAATATTTTTCTGTTCAATGAAATAACTGATATTTTATGGAACTGAAGTGAGGTCATGCTGAAAATCAAAATGATCTATATAGTTGTCATAGTCAAGATAGTAACCTAGTCCAGTGATGGGCAAACCATGAGTCACGACCCCCGAGGGGTTGCAAGAAAATTTATTGGGTCACTAAATTCAAAGAAATTTATTTAATAATAATAAATATAAGGCTTTTCTTCAACAAGTATCAGATACCAGTAAACTTATGTGTTTTATTCAGATCTCTAATAAGGCATAAACAGAGAATTTTACTTTAATCATGTTGACAATAAAAAAACACATTTACTGTCTCTCCAGGGGTTGCAACAAAATTTTACACAAAATGGGGGGGGGTCGGAAAAGAAAATAGTTTGCGCACCACTGACCTAGTCCATTAGCCCATGAAATACATTATAGCCTATAAAAAGTATGCTAATTATTAATTATCCGAGATTTTGGCACAGATTGAAAAATTAAACAAAGAAGAGGTTTTGAACAAAGTCACACTGTCATGCAGTATTAATGGATAAATTAATTCAGAATTTCTGCATTATGTCAACAGACATCATAGATCAAAGACCAGCCACCCATTATTAAAATTTCTATAATATCCAGTAAGTAACAACAAAGATGAGTAAGCAAGCAAGATGCTTTAATGAACATAATGTATAATTTCAAATATAAAAGACTGTATTTGCACATGTAGTTGCAAAAACTGGTGCAGGAGGAAAATATGAGTACATAGTTGCATGTGTACAATATATCAATCTGTAACTTTATTTTACAAAATAAACATTAGTAAAATTCTGTATAATCCTTGAAATTTTGACTTAATGATTCATTTCAATCTCAAATTAATATTTTATAGTTAGTATTCTATTAATAGCCCATGTGAATATAGTAACAGACAGTAAGAAATATTGAATAAAATACTTTAAACCTATAAAAAAACTAATGAGTTATAAAAATTAATTTGAGAGAATCATTAAAAACATTATCTATATCAATAATTCTACATAGATTAACAGAATGTTTTATTTTTTGTATTTCTCAGCATAGGACACACTGCACAAACTAAATCTAACCATAACTATAACTACAAAAATCTTTACAAGATCAATATTATCAGTTTGACTCCTGGCTAGAGAAACAATTTTCTTTTTCAGTAATTCCAATAATTTTTACTTTCCCTGTTCTGTTATATATAACAGAAAGAAAGTATCAGTCAAAAAATAATCCACAAAGATTTTTACATTTTTGGACTTAATGGACCTTGAATTATCAAGAAACAGAAAAAATTTGGAGTTTTTTCTATTTGTATGGATATTATTGTAAGTGTGAGAGAATGTGAGTGTTTGTGCGTGTGGGGGAACAGGATTTTGTTCACCCACTTTGAAGCTTAAATCCTGTGCTTTTTGTCAAAAATTTCTGAAATTTTGCAGGAAGGTTTGTTTATTAGGAGAATTGATGCTATTAAATTTTGGTGGTTAAAGGTTACGGGGATGGGGTGACAGAGGAGCTCATGTGTTATATCTCAAGTAGGTTGAACTTAAGGACATTTTTACTCATTATTAGCATTTACAATTTTTTTTATAAAACTCATTAGGATGAAGAAATTAAGCATTTTGCCATTTTATAATTATTAAACTATTGAAAAAGTTTTTATAAAAGAGTTTTAAGTGTTTTTTCTGGAAGTTACATTTGTTGCGGGATTTTTTTCTTTTTGTTTTGTTTAAAATAGACCAAGTAGTTCATTCCAGTCAGCTTACATGAAAAACTTCAATAAGACAAAATAACTCACTACAACACAATTGAATTCTATAGTTATCTGAAACAGAACTGTCCATTTATGCATTAGAAGTAAGGAATATATACAGAGATGGATGACAGTAATAATTAAATTGATGCAACTAGTAATGAAGAACAATTGATTTAGTAAAGTAGCCAAAAACTATTGTATACAGAATAATGCTAACAGATGAAAATAATGAATTACTACTATAGAACCATAATAAAACAAATCTGTTATAAGTGAGTTTGTGAAAAAAAAAAAAAATCTTCAACAAATTATCATCTATAATGATTGTAATCACAAATAACAAAATAATTATGTTAAAATGATATACTAAAGTATTTCTAAAAAAAAATTGAAAATTATCATTATTGTTTAATATCATTTTGTACTGAAATTTATAGAATATACAAAGTGTCCATTTTAATTAGTCTCCCAAAATCTCAAAAGATATACACCATATCAGATTTGTATGAATTTAGACTGCTTAGAATCTCTATTCATTGCTCTAGAGAGCAATGAATAGAGATTCTTTAATCACAATCACCCCGTATATCACAAATTCAATATTACCAGTACTCAAAGAGTCAATGAAATTAAGCCATTTACATACTGGTATTAAACTAGAAATTTAATTTTGGTAATCACAAGTCCAGGAACAAAGCTTACTGTAAAGAAAATAAAAGAAAAAAATCATTGAATAAACCAGGGGTGGCCAACCTTTTGCATACCATGCGCCAATTTTTTGATAGACAAGTTCAGATGCGCAGTGGCGTACCGTGGGTGTTAGCCGGCCGGGGTGGAGAAAAATTTCGGCCANAACAAATACTACTACTTTCAAAACTTTAATAAAGCAATATTTTATATTATTAAACCAATATAAAAATCCCAAATATTTCTGGGTTTACAGACTCAATTTCAGAAGACATAATCCAAAAATAAACAGTATAATGTCAACAATGACCTAGCAAAGTTGGACATAATCAGTGATATTATCATCCACCTAGAAAGCCATACACTATTTAAAGAGCTGAAGTGATAAAAATAAACTACATACTATTCATATACATTGATGGACTTGATACAATGAATTTCAATAGTATGCACTCCAACAATATAGATAATCTATGTAGTACAATTTACAATCTAGTCTCTCAGATCCTGCTGCTTTTATTTTATCTTGCTGTAGGTTACAGAGTTAAATTAACAGTTAACACAATTCAGAATTGATTGGTTAAATTTACAATAATCTGCCAGCCATCCATACTCTGTATTTGCCAATTCTTAAACACCATTTTAATGTTTCTAAATACACAAGAAGCTAGTTAAAAAAGCCAGAAGAAAACAAACAGTAAAGAATTTCTGAATAGGATGAATGGTAAGTTAATAAGCAGTGTTTTTCCACATGACATGGGTTGTTCATATAGAGAGCAGAAAGAGTTCTTTCTTACAATGTGTTTTTTCATATAAAAAACAGTCAAATTTTTTTAACCCTAAGGACCACATTAAATCAAGTAACCAATGTAACAAAAAATTTAAAAATTTTACAATAAACAACAAATAGAACTATAGTCAAAGACAAGCAACTAACAAAAAATACGTAGATGAGAAAAGTAACAATCATAGTTCTACTATACAATCATATAATGTAGTACTCATTAACATTGCTACAGTACAAAACTGAACAAAAACCATACCATAATGAGAGATGCGAGATTATCCTTAAATATTATCTTTGCAAGGCCAATATAGCTATTAAGATGTATTATTTTTAGATTGTATTCTCCTGAAGACGGATATATGGTTCTAAGAATATGTGGGATTTTTGTATTTGCTCTAATAAAATAGTTTAATGTTTTTTAAGAGGTAAACAATGTAAAATTTTATATTATTTTATATGATCTCTAAAAAA